CGCGTCGTGGTGCATGTGAACATTGGTGTACACAGTCGCTGTGGGGCAGATGGCCACTCACATGCTGCTCCTAGTTGCGCAACTGCCCGTCGACCGTTTGGCTTGCAGAGCAGCGATGTGGAATCTGGAAGACCATGTGCGCTGGAGGGGCAGGCGACCGAACCGTCCGAAGAGGAGTTGGTGTGACGATTTTTTTGTTGATTTTTTGCGCTCTCGCGGAATAGCGGCCACGTCGTTGAATTGGTATGAATATGCTCGTGGCACCACGGTTTGGCGAACATGGGAGTCTGAGTTTTGCAGGATGCACTAAAGTAGCGCCACTGTGCTTTTCCACCCCTCGCCGTAGTGGGAGAGGCTCCCCTGATGCGGTGGTTCGTCCGTCCGCCCGCCCGTCATCCCTAGGCATCCCTGGACGCCGCCGGCGCGGAACGTGACGTCATCTCGGGGGCGGGGCCGATGTTGGCCGCCATCCCTGAAAAATTGCGCAAAGGGATCCTGTGGTGCCGGAGCCACACGGCGTGGGTGGGGGAGGCGTTACGTTAGACCCTCCCCGCCCGCCACCCCCCCTTATAACGGTCATAGTCGCCGGAAATAAAGAAACGCGCTCATGGGAAGGTGGAAGGTCAGTTGTACGCATCTCAACACCACGGCACCGTTTCTGTCGACGCGCTGCTGCTGTGCGCCTAAAGAGTATATGATTTATTGCATTGTCAGTTGTGCTCCCACGTCGCCCCTGAAATCGAGACGGCCGAGACCACGCACTCAAGTCACGCCGCCTATCTAGGTGGTCGATTATTTGACGGATGTATTGGACCCCTTTGCCACCACACCAATTCCTAATGTTACGCCTGAGTGAGGGGGCCGAACGCTCATTTTTTGTTCCCGGGTGCGTGGCTGAAGTGGGGATCCGCGGGGAGGATTATGTTTGTTGTTGTTGTCGTCGTCGTCGTCGTCGTCGTCGTCGTCGTCGTCGTCGTCCCCTCCCACACCCGCCCGCGACCCACCCGCGACCCACCCCGCGACCCACCCCACGACCCACCCCACGACCCACCCCGCGACCCACCCCGCGACCCACCCCGCGACCTGACCCGCGATCCACCCCGCGATCCACCCCGCGACCCACCCCGCGACCCACCCCGCGACCCACCCCGCGACCTGACCCGCGACCCACCCCGCGACCCACCCCGCGACCCATCCCGCGACCCACCCCGCATTCCATCCCGCTACCCACCCGCGACCCACCCGCGACCCACACGCGACCCATACGCGACCCACCCGCGACCCATCCGCGACCCGGCCCGCGGCCCACCTGGGACCCACCCACGACCCACCCCGCGATCCATCCACATTGCTTTAATGAAGAAATCGGCGCCTGCGGCGGGCTCACTGCATAATTTGTAAAAGTTAGGCGCCTGCGGGCGGGCTTCTTCAGAGCCTCGCAGACTGACGACGTCCTCGCCGCCCCCCTCACTCTCATCCGCAACTGCGGGGTGCTACGTAGGGAATAGATCGGTCGTTCCTCAGAGACAGCATATAGCAAGTGTCACAAACATAGCACCGCAGTAGGTCCTACGGCATATCGGATGAGCGCGTGGTGGGGGGATCTTACGTCAAGCGGCAGGTGAATTCGGGTTGGGTTCCTGTTGGTCACATTCGTTAGTTGTGTGCCGAACTATTGCGGTCCCCACTACGAGTCTAGAATAGACCACGTCCTTGTTTTGGAATGCGTTGCGCCTCCTGATTGGATGCGCGCGTGCACAAAACCTTCGGTTGCAATTCGGTCCCAGATCATCTCAGTAGTCGCAGGTATTCACATCAGCTGCAGTGGTGTGCAACGTTGCTTCTCTGGGGAATCAAACACACACCAATACCACTACTCCCCTGACCTCTCCTGGGGTGCATTCTGACCAGGATGCCGAGGCGAAAACATCATTAGGTGGTGATGAGGGCCCCCAGGAGACACCTAGAGAGGAGCAAACGAGGGAAGCTCATCGGCAATGATTTACGTTCCCACCACCCTGGCCCTCGCGAGCTGAATCCGCTCGAAATCGGTTCCAGACCCCCCTCCCAGCGTCCATCCCGTTGTGGGTCGGGTTCATCTTGGTAGGTTTTTCGTCCTGGATCGATTTCTGACGATCCCAGGCCCGGAAACGACCTCCAGTCGCGGCAGTTCGCCAACGAGTTCGACGACGCAATTTTTCGCAACAAAAAAAACACGAAACACCTCCTCGCCTGCCCACTGGGGAGCGTTCTGCCCAGGATTCGAGCCGGATCCAGCCGCGGCGACGAGGGCCCGCAGGCGAGGCCTGGACAGACCTGGCCAGAGCACACGCAAGGCGAAGCCAGGCCGAACCGTGCAGGGGGCCATGCCCAGGGTCGCTGCACGACCAGGGCTGGTCGCTGCGATGGTGGTCGGGAGCATTGCTTTGTGTGTTGTGCGAGGTCCTGCGAGCAGCGGCAGGGGCCGAGCGAGTTTCCTGGGGCCCAGAGTTGATTGCGCCTCCCCCCTTTCCTGCTTCCTCTTCTGCTCCTCCGTCGCCTTCCTCTACTTCTGGATCCATCACAGCCAGCGTTCCAGCACAGTCAACGCCCAGGCTTTGTGCAATCCGTGACCCTCCCAACCTTCCATCGCAGTTTTGGAAGTGCGGTCTCGTCTGTCCAGGGGCCTCCACACTAAAAGCGGGGGGCAATTCCCGCAGTTGTGATTTCGACCAGGGGTGGCTGCGTGGGCGGCGGAAGTGGGTGAGCTTGAAGTAACTCTAGACGCTTCGCGTGACCCCACCAGCCCATCCAGAAACGATGCCCAGAGGAAGTGCCTCGATCAGGGGAGTGGGAAGCACACAGAGAGGAAGGGCCCCCCAGTGAAGGCCTCTTGGAGCGTCTTGGGGGCCTCTTAGCGGTCCCTGACGCCTCTTAGAGCTTCTTGGGTGCCTCGGAGAGCTTCTTGGGGCCTCTTGGGGGTCTCTTGGGGGCCTCGTGGAGGCCTCTGGGGCGCCTGTTGGGGCCCTCTTGAAGCGCTCTTAGAGCGCTCTTGGGAGCCTTGGGAGCGCTCTTGGAGCCCTCTTGGGCCATCTTGGAGCCATCTTGAAGCCTCGGATGGCCATCGGAAGCGAAAAGGCGAGAAAGCCTAAAACATTGATTGCGAAGGCCTTACGGCCGGTGCCGCCGACCCTGAATGGCGACGACGACGACGACGACGACGACGACGACGAGCGCTCTTGGGGGCCTCTTGGGGGTAGTTTGTGGGCCTCTTGGGAAGCTGAGGGGCCGCTTGGAAGCCTCGTGGAGGCCTCTTGGGGAGTCCTGGGGGCTTCTTGGAGGGGGCCTGGGACGTCTTGGAGGCTTCTTGGACGGTCTTGGGGCTATCTTGGGCGTTTTCGGCCGATCTTTGGGCGACTCGGGGCCCTCTTGGGCCGTCTCGGGGGCCATCTTGGGCATTCGGACCTCATTTGGAGTGTTTTCGAGGTTTCTAGGACGCCCGAGGAAAAACTAATCTGCCCCCCCCCCCCACCCCCCACCCCCCAGGATCCCCTCCGGGACGCCCCCCGGGACCCCCCCCGGGACCGCCCCCCCCTCCCTGGGGAAGGGATCAAAGGGAAGGGGCTTCCTTTCGACTCGATTACGACACTGCTAGATTTTTCTCTCGCTCACGAGCTTGAGAAAGAAGCTGCAGGGAAAGGGGACGACGGAGGCGACGACCGACGGAGACGACGACTCGAACAGCCAAGCCCCTCGCACACGCCGACAGGGTCGGCGGATTTCCCATAGGTTTTGGAAGGAATTTGGCCTTATCAGGGCTTCCCGGGGGAGGTCTTTGGCCACTTCGAGCCGTCTTGGAGCGGTCTTGGGGCCTCTTGGAGCATCGTGGGAGCCATCTTGAGGCCTCTTGGGATATCTTGAGCCATCTTGGCGGTCATCTTCAGCTCTCCCAGGCGCTCTTGGAGTCATCTGAGGCATTGCCCCCCCCAGGAGGCCAAAATGTGGGCCAAACCTTAGTACAATCAATGATGTTGGCGTTCTCGCAGAGGCCTCTTGGAGCGTCTTGGTTGCCTCTGGGGGGCCTCCTGGGGGCCTCTTGGGAGCCTCTTGGGGGCATCCTGGGGGCCTCTTGGGGGCCTCTTGGGGCCACATGGGGCCATCTTGGGGCCATATTGGAGCCTCTTGGGGCCATCTTGGAGGAGATCGACCAAAGAGGAGGGGGGGTCCCTCAATTAGGGTCCTCCCTCGGAGAGGTCAAACTGGGGCCACAGTTGTCAACCCTAGTAAAATTAATGAGATTGGCGTCCTCGCCGAGGCCATCTTGGACGCTCCAACCCCTCGCGAAACCTCCCGTCCAGGTCCAGGGGAGAGGGTGGGGGGAGGGGACACCCCTCGCCGAAGGGGGATGGGGAGGTGGAAGAGGAAACACCTCAAACCACCTACGCTCAGAGGGCTGGTGGGATTACACCTCGAGCGCCACCACCCCGCGGATCGGTGTCGTGATTCGTGATCCGTGCTGGGATCGGTGTCCAGGGGTTCTCGCCGGTTTCCGAACCGAACCGAACCCCTCTTGGCCCCACCCGTGCTAGGCCCACTTGGCATCACCCACATATACTTCTACCATGTGTGCGTCGCCTCCCCCCCCGAGGGCGGCGCGCGCGCTGAGACATCTAATATCATATGCTCGGTGGCGGGCGCCTTTGGGCTACACCGACGGGGTAACGACAATGCTTGTGCTATATATATATATATATATATACATATATATATGTATGTGTATATATATATATGTATATATACTCGGTCTGGACGTGCGCCTCCAAGGGGGAGCGCATCGTATCAACTAGCACGTCATCCTGCGTCCCACCCAGGGCGTCGCAGGCGTGCCCCTGAGCTGGGCGAAGGGCCCCCTCCCCGACGGCTCCACGCGTCCCTGCCGCGCTCCCGCCGCGCTGCTCCCGCGAGGCGTGCGCGCGCGCGCCGCGCCCGCGCACAGGGCGGCGCGCCCGGTCTCGCCCGCGATGGCGGCGGCCATATCGTGCAGGGACGGCATCGTGTCGGGTTGCCCATGGGGAGGGCTCTCCTCCCTCCTGCCCTCCGCCCCACTGCGCCTGCCCACCCCGCCCCTTCCTGTCCCCCCCACCCCGCCCCACCGCTCCTCCCCCCCCGCCACTCCCTCCCCCCTCCCCCGCCCCCTCCTGTTCCCCCTCCCTCCTGCCACCCCTCCGCTCCCTCCTGCCCTCCCCCCCCCCGACCCCTCTTGCCCTCCCCCACCCGTCCCTGCCACCCCTCCACCCCTTCCCGAACCCCCACCCCCTCCCCAGGCGGGGGGTCGATGGACAAGAGGCGGGGGGTGCGGGGGCAGCAGCGAAATAATAAGGAGGAGAACGGGCCAGGGGGGAAAGGAAGAGGAGGAGGAGCAGGAGGAGGAGGAAGAGGAGGAGGAGGAGGAGGACGAGCGCGATGACGAGGACGAGGACGAGGACTGTGAGGAGGGGCAGGAGGGGCATAAAGGGGAAGGAAGAGAAGAAAGAGGAGGAGGAGGAGAACGGTGATTGAGGCAGGGAGGGATCAAGGTATGGGGGGAGGAGGAGCAGGATGCGGAGGGTGCGGGAACCATAATAATTAGCGATGCTGATGGTGATGATGTTGTTGATGATATTGCTGATGATGCTGATGATGCTGATCATGATCATGATGATGCTTATGATGATGCTGCTGATGATGATCATGATGATGATGCTGCTGATGACGCTGACGTTGACGCTGATGATGGCGATGCTGATGCTGATGATGATGCTGATGCTGATGCTGCTGATGATGATGATGATGATGATGATGATGATGATGATGATGATGATGATGATGATGATGATGATGATGATGATGATGATGATGATGGTACTCATGATGATGCTGATGGAGTTGCTGATCATGATGATGGTGATGATGATGGTGATGCTGGTGATGCTAATGACGGTGGTGATGACGATGGTGCTGCTGATGATGAGGATGGCGATGATCATGATGTTCCTGTTGATGCTGATGATAATGATAAGGAATTTAATGATGGTGATGATGAGGATGGTAATTTCGTAGCACCCCGCAGATGCGGATATGAGCGAGGGGGTGGTGGAGACGTCGGCAGTCTGCGAGACTCTGGAGAAGCCCGCCGCAGGGGCCAAAGTTCCACAAATCAAACAACGAGCCCGCCGCAGGTGCCGATTTTGTATTCAAACCAATGTGGATAGGTCGCGGGTGGGTCGCGGGTGGGTCGCGGGGTGTGTCGTGGGTGGGTCGCAAGTGGGTCGCGGGTGGGTCGCGGGTGCGACGGGCGCGAACGAGCGGGGGCCACGAAGAGTTGACATATATGGGGTCACGAAGGGCAGCGAGGGGGCCACGAGGGGCTGCAAAGGGGCCACGAAGGGCAGCGAGGATGCCACGAAGGGCTGCAACGGGACCATGAGGGGCAACGATGGGGGCCACGCGAGGCTGCAACGAAGGGCAGCGAGGGGGCCACGAAGGGCTGCAACGCGGCCACGACATGCAGCGAGGGGGCCACGAAAGGCTGCAACGGGGCCAGCGCTGCAACGCAGCGACGAAGGGCAGCGATGGGGGTCACGGAGGCTGCAACGGGGCTACGAAGGGCAGCCAGGGGGCCACGAAAGGTTGCAACGGTGCCACGAAGGGCAGCGAGGGGGCCACGAAGGGCTGCAACGGAGCCAAAGGGCAGCCAGGGGGACACGAAGGGCTGCAACGGGTCCACGACTGGCAGCGAGGGGGCCACGAAGGGCTGCAACGGGGCGATTCCCAAGCAATATGCGAGGGAGTCCTAAGCGTGAGCGCGACTCCTGGGTGCCTGAGTGTCGGGAACGCGGCGCTTGAGTAAATTGCTGGGAATCCAACGCAAGGGCGCTATTCATGAGTAAATTGCAGGCAGGTCCCCAGCGAGAGCGCAACTCCAGAACGCCAAGAGAGCGATTCCTGAATACATGAAGAGGAAGTCCCAAGCGAGAGCGCGATTCCTGGATAAATTGTGAGGAAGTCTCAGGCGGGAGCGGGGGTCCTGCATAAATTGTGAGGAAGCCTTAGGCGGGAGCCGTTGTTGTTGTAACCCAGGGGCCAACAATTCAGTTTGAGGACGAAGACTTTTCCTGAAACGAAGCAAGGTGCGAGCGCTGGGGGGGCATTTCAATTGAAAGAATACATTGTGCACCGGAGGGGGGATCGACAATAGTTATTCTTCAGTAGTGAGAGTTCCATGCGACAAGCAGAATCTTCACCACGGATCCCACTTCAGCCACGCACCCAGGGACAATCAAAGACCGTTCGGCCCCCTCACTCTGATGATAATGATGATGATGGTGCTGATGATGATGGTGATGATGATAATGGTGATGATGATGATCATACTGGTGATGGTGATGGCGATGATGAAACGGATGATGCTGATGCTGATGATGCTGGTTGTGGAGATGATGGTGTGGTCGATGGTGATAATGGTAACGGTGGTGGTGGCGATAATGGCGATGATGACGATGACGACGATGACAATGACGATTATCATGCTAATATTGATGATGGTGATGATGATGACGGCGATGATGATGATGATGATGATGATGGTGATGGTGATGGTGATGGAGATGGTGATGGTGATGGTGATGGTGATGGTGATGGTGATGGTTCTGATGGTGATAATGCTGCTGCTGATGATGATCATGGTGATGATGATACTGATGATGATGATGATTGTGATGATAACGATGATGGTGATGATGAAGAGGTTAATGATGATGACGATGATTATGATCTTGACGATGGTGATACTGCTGATGACGACCATGGTGGCGATGATTTTGATGAATTGTCCGATGATGATTATAGAGACGATGATGATGATGACGATGATTATGCTGATGACCATGATGATGATGGTGATGATGGTGTTGTTGATGATGATGCTGTTGATGATGGTGATGCTGATGATTATGGTGATGGTGGTGGTGATGACG